ACCTTAAACCGCATAAACACATTTCATTACACCAAATACACAAAATAATGTTCTTTTTAGCAACATCATATGACCCCTTTAATGGCAGTGGGACTCCAGGCACATTAAGTTTGCACTGATGATCATGTGACCCAGCATGATTTCAGAATATTCAATTTCACAAATTTGCTTTGTCAATAAGTCTTGAATCTTGAAGTAGTACATAAATAGTTCAGAAAATTTAATATTTAAATAATTAAACTATTTTTAAAAATCCAAAATCATCAAAATTTTGGTTTAAATCCAACTTTGAATGATTGTCAGTGTGTTCCCACATTTTTGGACCTCAGGAGAATTCATAAAAAATAATATCAGAAATTTAACACTGTGCAGAAATCTGGGGGAAAAAAGCGTTAAATTTGACAATTATTACAGGGCTAATACTAAATGATGCTTGTGCCATTTGGCTGTATGTACATGTGCGAAGGGGGGTGGGGAGGGAGAAAATTATCTCAGGAGTGTCCATTACTTCCCGCAAATCAGAGGGCCGCATTGAGCCCATTTTAGAGTGGCGAGGGTGCCTCAGATCTGTCTCAGATGAAGTGAGGGCCTGATTGCAGGTGACTGAGCTCTGTAACACAGGCTATCGTATCCTCACTGCCTGGATGCCAAGCAGGACCAGATCGATGCCCTTAAAGGATGACCGGGCAAATCCCAATCAATTTCCTGTAAAGAGCGCTGCACTACGGGGAAGAGGAGGCAGACTGAAGCACGTTGGACTCAGAAGCTCAGTGACGTGCTGCATGAGGAGGTCTAGAGACTATCTTATTGGCTGAGCTAGGAGGAAAGTTATTGGTATGCCTTTTCTTTTTTTTCTTTTTTTTATGAAACTGCCCTTTTCACCTCAAGATGATCACCATGGTGCTTGGATCAAGTCAGATGCATTCAGCATAATATAATATACTGTATGTTATGTATTCTAATAAAAATGTATTTCATATCTCACATACCCTTAAGAACAAAATTGATCTGGTCCACCCATTCCCTGGCCTCATGGGGACTGCTGGCAGTGAACTGCAGAGAAAAACTATCATTGTTGATTTGAAGGCTATTCTCATTCTTCATTGTAATGACAGCAAGATGACTGAATAGAGCTACAGCAATGGGCAATGTGAGTGTGTTTGTGTGTGTTGAACCTGGTAAGAACGTCTTCCAGGAGCGCTCAACTCAAAGCACGAATTCTTTTTGGAGTCTTTGCGTAAGCTGGGCACCAGCTCTGCACTGTAGCCATTAATATAAAATGAGCCCTTCTGCTGCTTGTCTGAATTCAGAAGACAAAATCCAAGATTCTCAATATCTCTTTCTTTGATGTTCATGTCCTCAAACAGGACAGGACATACCTTTCTCACTCCCGAAGTAATAAAATATGGTGTTGTTTAGCACACACCATCGCTTTTGCCATTCCATGCTGAAGAAACTGTGATCTGAAAAAAGAAAAAGATTAGAAATGCTTGTGGATTTTATGTGACTTGATGCTTTGATTTTAAAGATTCCTACCACGTCTCTTCTTCTCCACGTAGCCTTGCTTTAGGATGTTACTCAGGTCCTGTGCAGCCACCAGAGGGATCTCTTCAAAAACTGTCAATCAGAAATCAATAATGAATAACACACTTACTCAAACATAAAATAGAATACTTATGTTTATTGTTTATACAATGAAAATAATTATTTATATATATATAAAAAACATTTTGTGGTCAGTAAGATTTTTTTGTACTTTTGACAGAAGTCTCTTATGCTCACCAAGGTTGCATTTATTTGAAAAATACAGAACAAGCAGTACTTTTGTGAAATATTATTACAGTTATAAATAGCTGTTTTCTATTTTAATATATTTGAGAATGCAATTAATTCCTGTGATGGCAAAGCTGAATTTTCAGCAGCCGTTACTGTAATATTCAGTGTCGCATGATCCTTCAGAAATCATTCTAATATGCAGATTTGGTGCTTTAGAAAGTAAAAATAAATAAATAAATAAATAAAAATTATTAGAAATAGAATCTTATTTAACAATTTATGTATTTACAGTCATAATATAACTTCTGGTCAATTTAATGTGTCCTTGCTGAACAAAATAATTAATTTTTTTCAAAAACAATAAAATCTTACTGACCCCAAACTTTTGAATAACAGTGTGTGCGTGTTTGTGTGTGTATGTATATATGTATATATATATATATATATATCTAAAAGAAAGGATCATTGCACAGCAAGTCAAAAAATATTAAATGCCAAGGAGAAGAAATAAGTTTTAAGAGTAGACTTAAAAATAGATAAAGTTGAGGCAGTTCTGATATGAATTGGGAGACTATTCCATAACTTAAGGCCAACAACAGAAAAAGCACGATCACCTCTGTTTTTGAGACGTGCCCTGGGAACTTGCAATAAACCAGAATCAGCGGATCTGAGTGTTCTTGACTGAGTGTATGGATGTAACCAATCAGATAGGTACTGTGGAGCCTGATTATAGAGAGATTTATAGACAAACAGTACAATTTTAAAATCAATTCTATATTTGACTGGCAACCAATGCAATGAAATCAAAACTGGTGTGATAGACTCATGTTTGCGCTTCCCATAAAGAAGCCGAGCCACTGCATTCTGAAGCAACTGCAGATGAGAAACACATGACTGAGGAGCACCGATATACAATGAGTTGCAGTAATCCAATCGAGATGTTACGAAAGCATGCATAACCATTGCAAACTTCTTTAGAGACAAAAATGGCTTCACCTTTGTCAGAAGACGAAGATGATAAAAACAGGACTTGACCACCGCACTTATCTGCTTATCAAATTTAAGATTATTATCAAACCAAACACCTAAGTTTCTTGCACATGTAGTTCTATATGGATTAAGAAATTCAGATTCAAAATCATGTACACAGTGGTCATTTGAGCCAAACAAAATAAATTCAGTTTTACTTTCATTGAGGTTTAGGAAATTACTTGTAAGCCAAAGTTTTAGTTTGTCCAGACAATCTAAAATAGGCTTTAAAGCCTGTTTGTTATCGTGCTTCAAAGGGATATAGATTTGTGTGTCGTCGGCATACAGATGAAAAGAGACCCTATACTTTAAAAAAATAGATCCTAGAGGAAGCATATAAAGAGAAAACAGTACCAGACCAAGAATCGAGCCCTGAGGGACACCAGACTTTAAATATATTTCAGATGAGGATTATATATATTTTTTGACCCTGGACCACAAAACCAGTCATAAGTAGCATGGGTATATTTGTAGTCAAGAATACATTGTATGGGTCAAAATTATAGAATTTCCTTTTATGCCAAAAATCATAAAGTAAAAAAAGTAAAGATCATGTTCCATGAAGATATTGTGTATTTCCTACTGTAAATATATCAAAACTTAATATGTAATATGCATTTCTAAGAGCTTAATTTGGACAACTTTAAATGCGATTTTCTCAATATTGAAATTTTTTTGCACCCTCAGATTCCAAATTTTCAAATAGGCTAGTTGTATCTCAGACAAATATTGTCCTATCCTAGCAAACCATACATCAATGGAAAGCTTCATTATTTGGCTTTCAGAGAGAGAGAGAGAGAGAGAGAGATTTGTAAATATAACAGTTCCTATAAATGATAAATATATATATTTAGGTGTAGATGATGTACAAAGGTGTACCATTGAGCTTTTGCACTGCTAAAATTACCATTTTTTCCTGTCATCGTAAGGTGGTATAACCTCCAGGTTTAGGGAAGAGGGGGCCCGGCCCACCCATAAAAAATTGTCCCGGGCCCCTGATGGCACTGCTAATATGATGACAACTGTAATAAGAATATATCAAAATCTCGTGCAGGGCTTGATGCACTTTAAACTGCACCCACGCGCCTATTTTTAGCATGTTTTCTAGGGCATATGAGAGTGGCAGCGCAGGCGAACAATTTGCTGCATACAGGGAAATGAGACACAAATCCTCACCCTCGCGATCCGGCTTTCATCAACTTCAAACCTCAAGAGCTAAACGGGAGCGTAGGCGACAGGTGGGCCTCTGGGCACGCTACCAGACTTATTTAAAACTCATTTAGACACGAGCAGATGCTTCCTTCCCTGCACGCTAATGTAGAAGTAATCTCTGTGGCATCTCTTCTCTTTGAGCTAAGGCTGCCATTCGATGCATAAAACAGACAGCGTTATGCAGTCAACTGTGCAGAGGGCTGTCTTGAACTTGTCACTGGAAAAAATGGTCAAAAGAACAACGATAAGCGCAACTGTGATGTGAGCGGTGGATATAACAGCTTGGAGAATCTAATGCCTCTATAAATAAGACTCAGCTCATCAAACGCACACAGTCTGCGTGACATCACCATCGAGATCTGTAGCCCGCCATGTTATGTGTCCAGTTTATCAGACAGATGACCATCTCGCAGAGAAGCCCTTTGACCCTCACTCACATTCACGAACACACATGAGCTTTTACCGTACACACGGCCACATCTACGTCGTCATAAATACAACTGTTTGTCAAGGGTAAGTTGATGTATCATCGAAAAAAAAACGGAGGCCTCGGTCCAGCCACTTCTCTGTTCATTTTTCTCTTTGTGCGCTTTCGTCCCGACACCTTTTACTCCCCTCATCCATCCACATCCACCTCTGTTCATTTATCTAAAAGGTCAAGCCCCGGTAATAGTTCAGAATAAACAGAAGAAATGTGAGAATGGCATACAATTAACAGTCTCTCTAATCTTCACACACCTACTGACAACCTTCTTCCTCAGGCCTTACTGTCTGACCCCATGGTGCGGTCAGAGACTTAAGCAATGGCAAAATGAATGGCGAATTTGTGTTCAGTCATTCTTCACAACCTACGACATGCCCTCCTGAGGAAACCAAACAAACGGTGGGTGTGCTTCTGGTCAGTCACTATATTCGTGATTCTTCCACAGGGTAGCAGTGTAACCAAACATTTCACCTACAGAAAAAATTGCATGTTTTTCTATTCTGAACTGTCTCCAAGGAAACCCAAGATTCTGATTGGACGAACAGATGCAACATTTAACTTTAGTCATTTCCTTCAAACCAATCAGAGCTTGATATATTTAAAGCCACAGAGGGCAAAAAGCAGCCAAAAGGGCAGTGGAAAAAAAAAAAATCAAGAGCTCGAACTGTTACATTTCTGCCTGTTTCTTACATTGTCAGTTTCCTTAGATTCTTCATGTTTTTATAAACATGCACATTTTAAACCATCATAAACAAAATAATTTACCTCTGTAGAACTATTAAAGTGACATAAAAAATGCATGTGGCACTGGTCTTGAGGATTTTCATTTCGCTTATAAATTGCATTTTTAATTATTCAGAGCGGTGAGGTTTCTTAACTCTCACCCCTTGCATTCTCCCTCCTTAATTAGCATAAGGCCAATCATTTCCATTTAAACGTGCTGTGGATGTTTATGAATATTTCAGAGTGTTACATCACCATCGTTCTCAGAGGCTTTGTGCTGTTAGGCCTTTTCCGACTTCATTTATTTTGTTTTCTCATGTTGTTCTTTACCAACATCAATTATTCTGAAGTATTCAAAGACAAAAATGGAGCATCAAAATGTATCAAAAATCATGCATCAGAGGACTTGTTTAGTTTTCGCTAAGTAGCCGTACAATTCCAAGCTTGATTTTGTCAGTAACTCATGACAAGAAGCAGACAACTACGTGAAGATGTGGGGAGAGGAGAAAGGGAGCGACACACAGCTAATGACTCTCCCCCAGGCGCTCTCCGCGGCTGCTAGATGCTTTGTGGTGATGCATGGCATGGCCTCTGCGATGTGGCAGGGCGAGATTGGTGGAGTGAGGCATTGAGCGTGCCACGCAGAGGAACGTTCATCAGTGCCACGGCAGCAAGAGAGCGGGGACTGATGCCACGAGTGGAGCTCGGCAGGATACGGGAGAACCAAGAGATGGCCGGCCCAGCCTCCCTCCCCCTCCTTCTTCTGCAACATGGAGGTAGGCACAGCTCCAGGTCACACTACTCCTATCTCTGCCTGCCACCACCAATGGGCTGCTGTGTTTACTCCTCACAGACTCGTTCTGCAGAGAACCCTTTTGTAACAATGACATCGAAAAATTTGACAGTGAGAGCAGCAGGTCTCAAATGAGTGGCGAACAAACAACCTCATATACTATTTAATTAATTACCATTCGTCATAAGCTCAGTTCAGGTGTTCATATTGGATAATAAAGCTGGGCTCTGTGCGCATTTAACATCTTCACAAACATGCATAATACTGCGCTCACAGGTGATGTTATGAGCACAGCAAGTGATCTGGCTATAAAAATCTGATTGATGCTGTAATGATCCGAGGAAGTTAATGTAAAACGTCTCAGGTTACTTATGTAACCATGGTTCCCTGAGTAGGGAACGAGATCGAAGTTCCCATGAAAGGGAACACCATTAAATAGCATCACAGTTGAGTGGCTATGAGTCAATGACAGGGCACAGTCAGCAGTGACAGATGCAAAGACCTGTCAAAGACATAAATGCGGCAAAATTTAGATTTATTTATACATTTAAGTTTGTTTTCATTTCATTTTTTAAAATGCCTGACAAAGGTCAGATGATC